TTGGGCCATTTTACATCCATTTTGTGTGGGCCTGCCACATCATTGCCAGAAGTGACTCACATCCAGATGCTATCTGGTGTTACTGGAAAAAAAACAAAGTTGGTGTCTTATATTGTGTGAGACATGTATGGTACTTTATTATTTCAACAGTTAATTTTTTTAAATGGGGAACTTTTTGTAGTGAAGTACAAACATTATGTGTGTAATTCATGACACAATTCAAATTAAGTCAAAAAAATGATTTGCCTCTCGCTGTTCGCTACATATTTTTTCCAAACCGGACACAGCAGAAGGAGAGGTACTTTGCCTCTATTCAACCACAAGAGCATTAGCCTTGTGAGGTCCAACAGTGAAAAGGCTCACTGTCTGTGTTCATCACGAATGTGTTGGATGGAGCTTAGATAAGGGCTCTGTGCAGGCCAGACAAGTGCTTCCACACCAAACTCAAAAATCCTTTTCTTTATGGACATTATGTGGAAACAGGAAACAGAAGTCAGAAGCACACTAAAATCTAAAATATGATTGTACATTGTACTATAAGGAAGACGGGACTGCGATGTATCCCTGTTTGATTCAACCGTTATTAGTCGTTACATCCAAGAACTGTTCCAGTGGGTTGATTAATCTCATCTGTCACCAGAACAAAGCCATTTCATCAGAGTGCCGAGGACCGGAGGTTGCAGAGTCCAGAATAAATGGTAATGTAAGAGAGAGAGAAAAATTTCAGTCAAAAAAATCTGCTGCTTGTGTGTCACATCATCATAATGTACAGCTCACAGCAAAACACGCACCTGCTTTTCATTTATCTGAAGTGCGCAGCTATAAATCAGCAGTAATCTGCAAAATGAATTATTGCAGCTCCAGCATACCACACCGCCGCTCATCCATTCATCCCACACTACACCAATCACAACATCAACACGAGCGGAGGGATCAGGAACAAACAGGCGTAGTGACCGAAATGAGATTAGAATGACTAACGTTTGTTGAAATATAATACAGCAGAGAAAGGATGGAAAGAGTAAATGAAGAATGCAGATGACTGATGAATGAGTAAGGGCATGGTTTAGGTTGTCTCGTGGCTTATGAAAATTACACAAGCGTTGCTCATTTGAGAGCTGCTGTGCCCTGCTGTCACTGGTGTTGATACACACACTATAAAAGTGGGATCATATCTCTGTTAGGGTTGTTTCTGCTGACGTGGTTCCACAAGAAAATTGCCTCCTCTGGCTGGCTCATGGTATCCACTGCTGTGGAAGATATCATTTATGCTTTGACTTTATTATGCTGTAACAGTAAATACACATGATATATGGAAGGTGGTAACGAGTTCAAGTGGATTTTAGCCACGATTGCAAAGTTGGTAAATCGGTGGGTCGGTGGTCCAGACTGAAATATCTTTACAACTCTAACACGGAAGACCTGTATACATCTAGCTCTGAAAAACTGAGTACTTTCTTCCACAACGTGAACTATCAACACTTTCTTAAAAGGAAAAAAGATAATCTGGACGCTCCTATAACAGAAGCTTAATTAAGAACTGCTATTATATGTATGAAACCTGGGAAATCACCTGGCGTAGATGGCTTCCCAGCATCAGAAATATGTAGATATACATATATTCAGTATTGAAGGAAATTTATTTTAAGAAGCATTGCAAAGTGGTTCACTTTCACTTCCACAGTTTCAATGAAGCTATAATATCACTCATTCCAAAAAATTACACATCCAGCTAACTACAGATCGATACAGAAACTAACCACAGATAAATAAGCTTAATAAATGTTGATTGTAAACTACTGTTCAAGGCTGTTTCAAGCATTGAGGCTAGACAAGGTTTTACTGGCAATTATTCAAAAAGATCAGGTGGGGTTTATAAAAAACTGATCCTCAACCAATAACATGAGGAGACTATTACATCAAATGTGGAATATGATGTATCTGTATCAACCCGTCAAGGATTCGGTCTCAGTCCACTCCTGTTCACAGTTTTCCTTGAACCACTAACCACATTGATTAGTGAGGAGTTATAGGAGGCGGCAGAAAACCCAAATGACATTTTGGTATTGAGTCAAGAACCAGCCACCTCTATATCAGTGTTGCTGGAGGTTATTGAAGCACATTCCAAAGTATTTGGGTACAGAATGAATTGGCATAAATCTGAAGCTATGCTGGTGTCTCAAACCTGTTCCAATCTACTGTCTACAGTTAACTTCAAAAGGTTTAAAAGGTATGAAATATTTGAGGATAGAATTAAAGCGAGACATAGGAGAAATTATTACCACCAATACTGAAACTTTGGAGAATTTGAGTATGTTGCACTTAATGTTATCGGGGAAGGTGAACAAAGTAAAGATGGTTATAGTCCCACATAGAAAATTATATAACTGGAGTGATATCAATGTGTGTTCCAAAAGAATTACTACTAAGATATAATAATATGATAAAAATCTTTGGGATGTAAAAAAACCTAGGATCCATATGGACAGGCTCTGAAGGAAGGATGGCAATCTCTACCAAACATAGAATATTACAGTATTTCTTTTTAAATGGCTAAACTTTCCAGACACTGGACTGGAACAAATTCTGAATTAGACTGGATTTTGATTGAACAAGAGCTTACTTCTCCTACTGAGGCTTTAGCCCAAATAATAAAAGGGGAGAACGAGAATAGGACAAATCCCATTCCAACACATTCAAGGACAGTCTGGCAAGAAGCATATAAAAAATATAAGATCTCTCATAATAATCAGAAATATGGATCCATATGTAACAATGCCAAAATAAAAGTAGATAAGTAGACAATTTATTGGGCTTAGTGGTTAAGATGAGGTAATAATAATGAATGACCTATTCGAAGAGGGCAGAGATTCATATAACAAGATGAGGGAGAAGTTCAATCTTGGGGGACAGGCCGATCTTTGAAAATATTTTCAATTCAGACATTTTATTAGGGGGAAAGTTTACTTCCAACATGGAAAAAACCCAGTAGAGCGCTACTTACAACTGCCAACAATGTTTCATAAAGCATCAAAGTGGTAAGAGTTATGTCCTTGGGTGAATAACAATGATTGTAAAAACCTCCAGAGGATATGGGGAAAAGGACCTGGGTTGTATAACTGATGAAGGAATATGAGAGAGGATTCTTTCCAACAATGCAGAATACACCCCATTAAGACTCAGTAGAGTGGGTCTAATTAAAGACAGTTGTGTTGGAAATGTAAAACAGAACCTGGTACATACATACATGCATTATGGGAATGCCCCATGGGTTTTCCCTCATGGAGGAATGCTCTTGGATGGTTAGAATGTGAACTTCCCATAGCACCAATGTTGTGTCTCCTTAGGGAAAAACTACAGGACCACAGTTTTGATTTACAATATTAACGACTGGATTAATAACATGTGCTTGGACATGTGATTCTAAGATGTTGGAAAGAGCTCCAAACTCCTACACTGAAAATGTGGAGGGAACAAACGATTGATACTTGTGAAAAGATGCGCGGAAGACTGAACTGTAAAAATGAGATGGTTAAGGAACAATGGGACAGCTTTGGTGGTTGACCGAGAGGAGCAAACTAATTTGAAATGAGTATGATGGCTTTGTACAGGTGCGTAGTAATGTAATTATTTCCATGTACTAATACATTCATACATAATACATAATACATTTGTGTGTGTGTGTAGGGTTAAGTGGCATCTAGCGGTGTAGTTGCAGATTGCGACTCCTTCGTTTCATGCTCCCCTTCAAAGGAGAACCTACGGGGGCCCTGCAACACCCAAAAAACAGTTTGGCTTGTCCCTTCTCGGTTACTGTAGAAACATGGTGGTTCAACATGAAAGATTCCATGGAAGGCAGCTTGTGGCATCTGTAGATAAAAACGGCTTATTCTAAGATAACAAAAACAACGATTCATATATTCAAGTGATCATAAACTAATAAAAACATACCTATGAATATTATATTCCATTTTTGCCAATAGATCCTCCAAATGTTACACAATGGACTGAAGTGTCTCAAGAACTATTGGATGGCTTGCCATAAAACCTTACACCCGTATACCTGCCATCATTTGAAACTTTCCAACTAAAGCTTATCTCAACGTCTACGAGACTGAGATGGACAGGGACGAACATTCATGGTCCCCAGAGGATGAATTTAAAATAACTTCTTTCTATCTGCAAAGCTCAACATTCTCATCAATTTGTGTTACTTTGCAAATGTTAGAATGCTAACACACTAAACTAAGATGATGAACACGAACATGGTAAACATTTTACCTGCTCAACATCAGCATGTTAGCATTGTTATTGGGAACATTAGCATGCTGACATTAGCATTTAGCCCAATGCACCATTGTCCGTAGTGCCTTTAAGTACAGCCTCACAGAGCTGCTGGCGTAGCTGTAGATGCTTGTGAAACCCAGTAGTGGTTTGTAAGCCACTCCCCACATGAAGGTATTGATGATTAGATATAGGCTAGTTTCATCAGATGTTAGCTTTATGTTTACATTGTTATATCCTCAGTAGAGAAAACCTTAAAAGGTTTAATGTATTCCAATAAGCTTTACATTTGTGTGGCTTGTTTCTTATAAACACAGTAAGGGTTTATCCATAGCTCATAATTGCTAAATAGGTTGAAGGAATGAGTCGTAACTGAAACATACTGAAGACACAATTTTAGAGGATCATGCAGGAAATTCAAGTGCAGTAAAAATATCAAGCCTGGCCTTCATTAGTGATGTGTTTTTGTGTGATTTGTTACGCTATGTTGGGCTCCATCAGGCGGTTGCACACAAGTGTCGTTGAGTGGACTTCTGACAGGTGGTGTCACTCCTACGCGCTGCAAGCCGCTCAATTGAGCGGTGCAGATGGTGCGTTGCGAGCTGTGTATGCCAACAGTTGCCATTTTGGAGCTATACCCCCCAACTCCTTCTTCTCTTTGAGTATTTCAAATGATCCATTTACTTCTTTAGGAAAGAATGGAAATGATCACAAGCTGCAACAATGTGTTTTATATTTACAACACAAATAGGAAATTATAATGTTGTGTAAAGACTAACAAAACAGAACAGTGAGGCCAGAAATCACTGCGCAAAACACTGTTGACAACAAAGCCATGTAATTAATGTGAACTGAAATAAAATGATCAGAGTTACAGTATGTACATTAAATTTCATGGAGAAGCAACAAATCTGAATGTGAAGGTTGACATGTCTGCACTCAGTCCTCAATACAACATGCAGTCTGAAAGAACAAAGGCCATGTGAATTATGCTGTACTAAATACGTGTTTCACAAAATCAATAAAATATTGTGACAGCAGTCCTGAAAGCACAATGACAAGAGTGAAATAGTGTGAACTGATCAGATATTGTACATGTTTCTTTACTGTAAAAGCCTGGGAGGTTTTTTTTTTTTACACTGTTATGTAACACAAATGGTCCAAATTGTTGTTGGGTATAAAGCATGCTTTTTGAATACTGTAAAGAAATAGCAAATGTGTAATTTAGAAATGTTAAAGAAATAGTTTAATATTTTGAGAACACTTACTTTCTTACTGAGAGTGAGATGAAGATTGATATCACTCTCATGTCTGGATGCTAAATATGAAGCTCATCAGCAGTCATTTAGCCTAGCTTAGCATAAAGATTAGAAACAGGGAAACAGCTCGCATGGCTTTGTCCAAAGTTCACAAAATTCACCATCCAGCACCTCTAAAGCTCATTAATAACACATAGAGTCTTGTTTACTCTGTACACACACAAAAATGTAAAATTGTAAAAATTGTGGAGTCCCGAGAAATAGTTACGGCACGTAATTTACATGTCTGTTCATGCAAGGATTAAAAAAAATGGGATTAAACAAGTTAATTATTGAGTTTAGAGGGGCTGGTAAAGAGATGATTTTCACCTTTGGAGAGAGGCAGGCGCTGGTTACCCCCCGTTTCCAGTCTTTTATGCTAGGCTAAGCTAACTGACTGAGTGTTATTGATCTTCTCATCTAAATCTAAAAAACAAATAACTTACTTCCCAAAATGTTCCTTAAATAAAGGCAGTGAATGACAGAATGAGAGTTTTATAAAATGCTGGTATTCCATCAGCCTCCCTCCTGTTAATAAAAACCGCGCTTTAAAATCAGTGTTACGTTCTGACATCCTTACACAGTGTTAAATCCCCTGTTAGTCATAGAGCAAGGTCACAGCAGTTCCAGCGTCCACTTCAAAACAACCAGTGAACAGTTGGTGGCATCAGCTCCAAGGCAAATTAAAGGAATAGTTTGAGATTTTAGGAAATACGCTTAGCTGTTTCTCCCAGCTTCCAGTCTTTATGCTAAGCTAACTGGCTGCAGCAAATGTGAGAGTGGTATCAATGTTCTCGTCTTACTCTCGACAAGAAGGCAAATAAGAGTATTTCTCAAAAGACTAAACTATTCCTTTAAGTCTGTTTTCATTTCCTGAAAGAGCTAATTAACTAGAGATGTAATAATACTATGAATCTCTGTCAGATGTCTTGTCATTAGCAATATGTTGTGACCACATTTTATTGGAAAGTATAGGTACAGTTGTAATAACTGACCCAGAGCAGTGTCCTCTACCCATAATGAGATTCAGTGTCTCCTCACAGGGGTCAGAGCAGAGAGTAATTTACAGTACATGAGTACAGTCTTTGTAAAATACATGTTCTGTAGTTTCCTTGCACACTGCCTAAGTGACAGTTCTCTCATGAAAGTCTTCACTCGCTATGATAAAAAAAAGTTCATAAGGGTTTTACCATATTATGTTCCTTACATAGAGAAGTGTTCAAGAACAAAAACAGAAATGGGCTTAAAAAACATCATAAAAAGCATTAATTGACGTAGTAAAGCCAGTAGATCAAGTTGAACAGGGAGAAGCTGAAGGGGAATATTATCCGTGACCATCTGTCGATGGCGTTCACATCGGTGAGGTCTGGGATTTTGATTTTGAGCTGTGAGGATCGTCTCCGCAGACGGGTTTTCTTAAAATGTGCGTTCCTGTCCATGCTGAGGCGGCCCGGCTCTCGCGCCGTGCTCGGCTTCCTGTACTGGACCCCCGAGTTGTCGAACACCATGGAGGAGGAGTTGTGGGTCTCGCTCACGGTGGTTGTGATCTCGTTCCCTCCCACCTCGTTGTGGATCTCCAAGGTTGTCAGCAAAATGTTCCCCTGGGAGTCGACCTAGGCACAACAGACAGGAGCGCTGTTAAAAATGGGCTGTGAGCTGAGGCTTCAGTGACTGATGACACATGTGCAGCATGCGTCAGGCCCCGGGGCCGGCGTCTTCTAGCAGGCTGACAGATTACAGCCGGGGAAACAGAGAGCGGCCTTCAAAACCAGGTTTCCTGTCCCAAAGTTAAATCACTTCTCACAAATCAGCTCAAGGTTGGACTGGATGGCTCTAATACTCATGTCATGACAGGTATTGCTTCCCACACAAAAACATATAAATCATTCAGACCCAAGTGGCAAAAATAGAGGCACAATATGTACACAGTAATATAACAATGTGGTTACAAGACATGTGAGGAAGTGACAAGGGGAATATTTATCTTTCTCACTCTTTATACTTCAGTGCCGACTAATGACACAAACTGGACTTATTCCACGATGTAACAGTAAACATATGAACATTTGGAGATCCACCTCAGACCTCATGTATATCATATAAACAGTATTTTATTACAGCATATTCCAAGAGGAGACTACTTTAACATATAGATAGCATCCTAAACCTAAAGTGATTGTAAATAGTGTTCAAGCTGTGAATTACACTGAAATACTCTCTTTTATTATCCGTATGGAAGCATCACTGTGTAATTGAATGGTAGCATGCTAGGGGAATATAATATATATCTCATTTACTTAAAGATGGAGTTTTTGTTTTAATTTATATAACTGCCAAAGAAATACGACCTTCATTTCGCTCATTAAAATATTTTCACACAAGACACCTGACTAACTTTCTCAAGGTTTCTTAAACAGCCATTTTGTTCCTACAAGGGTTTTATTCTTAATAATGGAGATAAACAGCATATTTATGCACATAACATGTATTACAGATAAGAGCACAAGATGAATGGTGAAATCTAATTTTTATGTTGGTGTTGTACAAAGCAAAGAGGTTGTTTTCTGCATATGTTTTGGTCTTGTGACCTTCAAACGGGGATACATATTTTATGCGTGCATCGTGATTTATTGCTAAATCCTCGACTTTATTTATCAGGCTCTAACAGACAAGATAGACGTTCACGTGGAAGCCAGAGGAATTTAACAACATTTGGTATTTTTTTTATGAATTTTGATTTTTTTCAGTTAATAGAGTGGTTTGTTTGAATTTACTGTACAGGATACATCATTAGGGTCACACACACATAAAGACAATATAGAGGAGGGAAAGGAATGATGGTGGTAATGGCTGAAATGGCTGGTTGAGATGCTGTGGCGATTAAGCGTGTTAATTTGTTAAATGAGGAGGTCAAACTTTGCCCTGCAGCAGCAAAGTTTCAGTGGAGGTTTCACAGATGTGACACAACAGGCAGTAACAGACACTCACCCTTCGTGAGTGACGGCGCCCTTGTACCTGATTGGACTGTTTAATAGACGAAGACTTGCAATTGCCTCCTTCCAGTACGGACTAGCCGGGAGAAACACAAACAGAAACCCCTTTTGTCTGAGCTCTGGTCAGGTGTTCGCTGAGGCAGAGCTTCACCATCAGGATAAGATGTTTAGTGTCCAGTACTGACAATTAATGTTCAGTCATTTAATCAAAGTGAGATTTAATTTCTCCCAATGTGCACGTAAAAATAATAAAGAAATAAAAATCTATGTTTAAAAATGCATCACTACTCAAATTATAAAATTGCACAAATGCCAAATCTTACACAAAGTTGCTTTAAAAGATAAGTGTGTAGGATTTAGTGACATCTAGCAGTATATTTGCAGATTGAAACTCCCTCACTTCCAGTGTTGGGCAAGTTACTTTTAAAAATAATTAGTTACAGTTACTAGTTACTTCTTGCAAAAAGTAACAAAATTAGTTACTCAGTTACAAATTATAGAAGTAACTAGTTACTTCAGAAATAACTATTGCGTTACTTTCAAGTAAATTTTTAAATGCTCAAATGTGACCCCACCTCCACCCCTCTTTAATCGAACATAAAATACATGTGCATGTTCAATTATTTATGATAAATCTGAATATTATAATGAAATGGACACTTAATACAATACATTATTAACAGAAACAATGTACACAAATCTAAACTATTTTAACGTTGCTGTAGTATTTTCTTCCTCGAAAATGTAGAACAGTGTAACAATATGAGGTGCTTTCAATCTAACTGAAAAGTACAATGTATAGCAAAACTAAGGACTCCAAATATAAATAGGTAATACATACGAAATAAAAATACATCTCCATAAAAATAAATCTCTTTCTCTGGCCATTGACAATCTCACTTCAAGAGGCTGCAGCCAGCCAACAAATAAATCTAAATTAAATTATGCTCTTTAAGCAATGTACCAAAAATGTATTCAAACAATATATACACTCTTTTTAGTGCAAATGTAATAAGATGCAACACAACTTGCCATACCTGTCTCTCGTTGACTGACTCGCTTGTGTTGTTTGTTGTGTGTCGGACTATGCGTGCTTTCGAACACCCGCCCAACTCTACCTCTGATTGGCTTACCATGAAATTTTACTCAACCTCAACCAATCGTCAGAATTTATGCGTTTGTCTCGTGTCTCGTGGGCTCCTGCCCACTAACCAAGAAAGAACAGTAAAAAAAAAGTCTTTGCCTCTCAGCTCTGAGATCTAGTTGGTCTGATAAAAAAAACAGCTTCAATTATAGTAACGTGCCGCATTTTTTTGGCAGTAATGGTAACGGCGTTATTAAGATGGGTAGAGTAATCAATTAGATTACTTGTTACTGAAAAAAGTAACGCCGTTAGTAACGCCCTTATTCATAATGCCGTTATTCCCATCGCTGCTCACTTCACCTTCCCAATCGAAGCACAAAGGAGACAACGGTGGCTACGAAATACGCAAAGGGCCCAATCTACAGGCAGTGTTTCTGGGCTACCGTAGAAACAAGGTGGTTCAGCTGAAAGCCTCCGTGGAAGGAGAGAACTGTTACCAACGTATTCACATTTCATGGTATAAATTTGGGTTAAGAAGTACTTTTATCATTATTACTGAATCGTGGTTTAAATTAAGACTTTAAGTTTTGTATCTAAAAATACAGTTTTATTTCTTATTTATTTCCTTATGTTATTCAATGTTTTTTTGTGTATTTTTATGTATATTTACGAATAAAGAATTTCAACATAGTAGGGCAACTGTGGTATTTTTTCGATGTCTAAAAGACGTAAATTGAAGAGCTAAACCCTGGTGAAAATAGAAAAGTGAAAGTTTAGTAGAAACGAAACAAAATACTGTTAGCTAGCTTCATCCAGTGCACATATATAACTTAAATTATTAAATTATTCAGTGTAATTATACTAAACCATATAATTTCCAGAATACCATGACTTTACATTACAATTGGTATAAAAACATTAACTAATGTAAAAACATTAAAAACTATGACAGGTGTATTGAATATTTTATTTTTATTGAACTAAGTTTTGTATGTAAGTGTCTCACCATGCTTGGGTCCTAATGTTATTGTGAAAAAATTAAGTGAAACATTTTTCATGATTGTACTCAACAAATATGTTACAGGATCATCCTATTATTCTGTCTTATATTCTATATTTTTAGTTTATTTAAAAAATGAAGGTTTATAGACGGCAGCCGGCTGGTTCACAACCAATACATCACTTATTAAAAAAAACATTAATTTAAAACATTTTAGTTTAATTAAAAATTAGACTAGAAAAACACGAAAACTTTCAATGAAAATGAGAATTATATTGTATACTAACAAAACTTAATAGAATCCACTCAAAACACATCAGTATGTGTCACTAGTTTTAGTCTTAAATCTTAAGCTGGTGCTGATTTCACCAGTGCCGCAGTGTCACTTTACTTTTTAGGGTCCCTCTGTGAGTGCTGGCAGTCTTACCACTACTCCTTTAATCTTGCTCACTGAAACACTCCTGTTCCTCTTTCTCTCATGCTGGTTGAACCAGCTCCACATCTTTACAGCTTTATAAAGGTTTTCAATTTGATGTGAAACTGCAGCTGAAGCCTGTATGGGGTTAGATAATGGAATACCCTATCACCCAGAGCAATCTCGATTATGTGACAGTCGCTGGAAATGTCCCTGGCAATTCTTTTGTAGAGGCCCTCATCGGTGCCGTTTCTTCTGATCTTCCTCTGGTGGGAACAAGATCTTCAACAGCCGATCCACCATGTGAGTTAGCTCCTGCAATGATCCCAGTGCTTCTGTTGTTGGGAAGCAGTCAGGTTTCCTCCTCAGTTACAAATCTAACGATCGACTCCTTGACTAGTTTGTGGTCAAAAAAGGCTTTTATGTTACTTCCCACCCTTTTCCAGCAGGGTGTGTAGCTGGATATGGCCTCTGATTTCTTTCACAATCTCAGATGCTGGTTCCTCTGTGTCCTGGGAGGTGCTGGATACAAGCAGGTTATGTTGTTTTTCTCAAAATGTCTGTTCACTCAGGATGTTCTTGACTGCTTCTGCAGTTTGATCGAGCTTCCCACAGAAGAAACGTCTTCTAGTCCATCCTCTTCTGCCATGTCTCCCCAGTTTCAGCCAGCTCATTGTCCTGCTCTACTGATTTTTCCTTCTGTGTTTTAGGTTCAGCAGCTTTCATTTTTAGCGAGCTGGACATGCATGTTATTTTAGCTTTGTTGTACTAATGTTCTACATGTGAAAGACCCGGAGACTGGCAGTTTTCTCCTCTCGCTACTGCCTCTGCTGCTTCCACAACTTCTGCAGAGCTCTAAATTTACCCTTTCTCTTCCACCATGATGTTTTTGTCACCTTTTCTGTCCTGATGCTCTCTGGAACACCAGTCACCTCTGCAGAAGTTTGTGAAATAGTGTCACCCAGACACTGGCTGACTTCGATTTCGGGTAAGACACTCTTCTGTAATCCATCAGATGCAGAAGAGCTTCTGGATGATTTGGGAGTATGAGTTGAATGCATTTCGCCGACCTTTTGTTGGATGCATCTATAAATGTGTATACACATGGTGTAAACTATATCTACACTAATAACTATCTGTTATTATATTTATTATTTCCTTGTCAACAGATCCACATTGCAGCTTGGCTCACTGTACTGCCGTCAGCTGGTCCAGGAACCGCTGGAGGAGTGGTGAAGTGTCTCTATTGTGACCAGTGGAAAAGCCAGATGCATCTCTTCTGTGTTTGTAATATTTATGGTATCGGCTGTCTGTAGTCGCTGTGTTCATCTCCTTGGAAGAAAGTCAGTGTGTTCTGAAAACTCTGAACTCAACTAAACAGGATTTGGGTCCTAAGCTACCTTACATAACTAGGACCGATTAGGTTAACTTTTTTTTCTGTCTTAATTGAAACGATTTAAAAGTACACAAACAGAACAAAAGTGCTTGGCTAGGCCTGCTTCTAAATAACAACAACGGAAAATAGGGAATACAAATGAATGAATAAATAATACTTTACTGAGTTTTGAAATCAAAATGAGAGAAAATTAAAACCAAAGGGATATAATTTCGTAGATCACTGTATCCAAAATAAGGGATGATGATTTGAATGATTTTTACCAGGATACATGTTCTTGAAGCAGCCATATGCTTTGTTCTGGGTTAATTATTTGACTTATGAATGTGGAACTTTCCTAAGACGGCACAAAGGTTTCACGAGATCCAAAGAGTCTGATCTCATTTAAATATGCTACACCTGAGGATACTGTAAATTATCTGCCACTGTAGCTCCTGTTTCAACTGTAATTTTGCAATGATGCACTTTTAAACAAGGAAATAAAAATATACATTTTAAGGGCCGCTCCACGAGCTTTACAAATAAAGGTCAGTTTGTTAGTAATCGAGGGCACTACTCAATGTTATTTTGGCTTGGACTCTTAGATTACACATTTATAACGGAGAGCCTGTGTTATGAAAGCCCTGGGTATTAATCAGGCAGTAAGGGTCCAAGGAAAAGAGCTTTTGAACCTTTTGAGGCACTAAAGCTCAGGATATCAGTTTGATCATTTTCTGTCAATCAATTCATGTGCACACAGATAAGAAATAAAATTTCCATTTGACTGAATGATTACAATTTAATATTTGGAGCTGTGTACTTCCAAACCTTATACTACCTAATGTTATTTTTATTCAAATTATTATATTATTATAATTATCATGGCATCCAATTAATAATATTGCTCCACATATTAAACTACCATATGTATAGTACATGTTAACAGTCTTATCTACATACATACTGTACTGCTGATGGTTCTTCTGCCTGTAGGAGGTAAAGGTAAAGGTTGACTTTGCATTGTCTGAACCTGTGAAATGATGAGTGTAACTCGATTCTCTGGTGTTTAGAAATGATTCTCACCTTGGGTCTATCAAAATTTTCCCGGTCATTATTTGCCTTCTGTGCTTTCTCAGCGAGTTTCTTCTGCATCTGAGGACCTCTTCCAAAGAAGATGTAGTTGACGAAGGCATATTCCAGCAGAGCCAGGAAGACAAACACAAAGCAGCCCATCAGGTACATGTCTATAGCTTTGACGTAGGGGATCTTGGGCAGAGTCTCTCTTAAATGGGTGTTAATGGTTGTCATGGTCAGGACAGTGGTGATCCCTGAAAGAAAAAAGAGAATAAGAAAAGAAGAAAAATTTATAAAAATACAGCTAAACTGCATGGTCATCAAAAAATATAGATGCAGATCTCCAGAGACAGATGCTTGTGATGAAAAAACATTGAAGAACGTGAACCACTCAGTTGAGGAGAACAAGCTCAGCAATACATGTGTAACACAGTGCAGTGGCCAACCCAAGTCAGAAGATTACCTCCTGTTGGGGGATCTTTAACACAAACCTAGATCTACGAGATCTACTGGTGTCCCAGATATGGTGATAACTTACACAGCTACATATGTGTGAAGATCCAATTGGGTGGTGGTTCAGAACAAACTCTAAGCCTACCAATGGTATCCTAAGTCATGCTGAATGAGTCACACACATTATATAAGTATGTAAGGAGACAGTCTGTCTGTTACATTGTTCTTAACCTTGCTCTTCCATAACCAAGAACAACCACGGTATGTTGGGTGATCAGTGATGACGCTGATCAGCACCAACAAGATAATTATCCAAAGACAGTTTTCTAACAACAAATGGAGTGGAGCTTGGTAGTTTTTACAAAAAAAATCTCCTGACATATGTCTAGCAACCGATAATGTAATAACGGCCAATAATGTAATACCTGCCAATAACGTAATAATTCTGGCCATTTTAAATGTAATAAATCCAATAACGTAATAACTTGCTAATAATGTAATAACGTTTTTGAGCCAATAAGGTAATAACATTTTGCCAATAATGTAATAAGTTATTACGTTATATATATAGTGGATGGCATAGTCGTCATATTCATTCATCAAGGGTATGTATTATGCAGCACTCTCTCTCCCTAAATATGGTTGTAAGTTGCAACTTACAAAAACACAAAAAAAAAAATGTATTTCCAAGAAATGCAGTCCTATTTATGTATTATTACATTCTCGGCTGCAGTTATTACATCTCAAAGATTTTTCTTAATGCTGTGCCAATAACGTAATAACTTAGTACATTATTGGCAAAATGTTATTACCTTATTGGCTCAAAAACGTTATTACATTATTGACTTTATCACATTTAAAATGGCCAAAATGATTACGTTATTGGCAGGTATTACATTATTGGCCATTATTACATTATCGGTTGCTACACGTGTAAAACTGTTGACAGGACACCTCGAACTGTAAACAAGGTCAGTTATTACAATTATTAGTTCTTTGTATTTAGATTTTTTTTCAATTTGCAAGTTTCTAAAGCCTAGAAATGTTTTCATCCTATCATCCTAAAGTAAAATCTATAGGCTGAGAGGGAGGCGGAGCCTGGGAGAGAAATACACATGTGCAGCAAACAAGGAAGTGATAAAACCTTTTGAATCAAGGATTCATGGGTGAGTCTATTGATACTTTGTCACTTTGATCAAAGAGTGGACATCCGCTGCTATGGAGTGGCTTCAAATTATTCACTAAATAGTTAGTGATGCCACTCTCCATGTGGAGAAAAATAACAAGTCTCTTTAAACGTTTCTTTAATTACAACTTTAATTAAAAATCCATTTGTGGAGCATCATAGGGGCTAAAATGAAGGTTTACTCATAAGAATGCTATTAGCTCATTAGGAGAGATCACTGTACTCTCCTTTCAGGGTCTTACAATGAGTCATTTTCATCTCATACAAACATTTTCATCAAACCTGATGAAAAAAAAGCCTTCAAAATTGTTCAGATCAAAGCTCCTGTATGCCTCTTCTTGGCAAATTTACTTAGCTTGGATAAGCAGAAAACGCTCCACTATATGGTTTACAGCTCATGTAGCATACAATGAGTGAACAGACTCAGCAAATACACAACAAACAGCAGTGTAGTAATTCTCTCCATAATGTGCACCATCGACAATAAATGTGTCTGTTGTGTTTGTGTCCTGTGGATGGCTCACCAACCTGGACAGTGTGTCTATTTCTGTCGACTCAGGCTTATATAATTAAAACAAAAATGTTGCACTGTACAGTACTGTATGTGTGGGGGTGTTAAGAGCACTGTGGGTTTATGGCATCGATTTCAGCAGAACAAAGGGAAGAGCAAGAGCTCTGAAGAGAGGGTTACTCAACAAATCCCTGAAATATTTTCAGTGCAGTACTGTCGAGTTTACTGTTGTCTCTGACATTACATCAGTACCGTACAGAGACAGATTACGCAGTGATAATCACAGGTGACATCTTGTAGCTCACTGTTACTGACTGTTACTCCTCCCACAGCAATTTTCCAATCATAGCCTTAGCAACCGTAACTAGTCACAGCAGATCTGTGAAGATTTGGACGATTTTAACTTGTTAAAGCATTTTGCATAGGGCTATATAAGAGTGGTATTAGATCATTGAAGAGCTTGAAGTGTAAAAGTGCAAGGAGTGGGGCAGTGTGATAGTGTTTATCTGCTGTAACGTAAGCTCCAATCCTTTAGCATGTCCAGCTAACTAGCTAATTGGTAGTTACCAAGGGTCACTTAAAGGTCCAGTGTGTAACATTTAGGAAGCTCTATTGGCAGAAATGGAAAATAATATTCATAGGTATGTTTTTGTTCGTGTATAATCACCTGAATGAGCCAGTTTTTTCTTCTATGGCTGCCACCATGTTGAACCAGTTGTAATAAGCTACACTGCTGGACACCACTGAATCCTACACACTGGGCCTTTAAAAGGACAAGAAGATTGACTAACTTAAGTGGTTTGTGGTGCTACAAGTTACGTTAAAAAAGTCCCATTCAAGGCTAGCATATACATCGTCTTTCCCCGCTGTGTGGGAGCTGACATAGGATGCTATCAGAGTGTAGCTAGCAGCTAACACATTAACTTTGAGGACAGAATGTTCACTTGCTTCCCAATATACCCCCTCACTGACATAATGCTCATATTGGTATGGCTGATCGGTGTATATTCTCCGATAATAATAAATAACGGCAAGCTATAAACCTTCAGAAAAATCTATATTTTCAGCAAACCAACCGAGCTAACATTAGCTTAATTAGCTCGCTAGCTTCATCAAATAAAATCTGACAGCGACAACTTGAAATGAGACACCTGTTTTTTCTACCAGTGTATTTGAAAGGAAACATTGTTCATGATAGATGTGCCACTACCTCTTAGCAAAAGTGTAATTCCAAGTAAATACACTGTATGATCTCTTAACGCCCCTCTTCAGACGTCATTTTCCACGGCTCATATATGAGGTCTGATAGGTATCCCTGCAAATGTAGTTTCCCTCAGGATACTCATACCACCATAATGGCTGAGAGAAAGGAAACCTATAGTGAATCACTACGTAGACAGTGATTGAATTTAGTCTGTACTGTAAGTGTTAATGCTTTTTCACGCCATCGATCTCACTGTGCCTTAGATGATGGTCTTCTCAATGAGGAGGCGTTGCAGCAGACGTCCCCTGTCCCCTGAACTGGTCTGACCCTGCTGGGGTGCTTCCAAATCTAGCTGCTGAGCGTTCCTCTTAAAATGTACTACATTCCTACACAAAGGAAATTAAATGAATGCTGCATATCACGCTCCTTCTTACAGAGTCAGTACTTTGTGAGCATAGATGCTGAAAGTTGGTTCTCCATTAGGGCAAATATTTTAGCAGCGATCAATGCAGTTGGGGATGGTAGGGTGTTTTCCAGTGGTGAACTTAGCCTCGTATTTCTTTTAGTCCCAGAGGCCAGTGGAAAGTGTGAGTCTCAGACCCAGTTCAGTCTCCTATTACACCACAGAGCAGCAGTCTCAGACAGACTAAAAAGGAACACACGGCCGTGAAAAAATGTTTTTAATCTGGCATTAACTATTCTCACATATGGCTAGAGTGTGGGAAGAATTCACAGATAGTGCTGATGAAACTGTCTTGACACATTGCAATCTTTTTCCTCGATGTCCACTACCCTAGGCTGTAAAATTTGAAATGCTTTTGATAGAAGTGTTATGAAACCTGGCTTGTGGTGCTGTTTACATAACATTTGTATTTGAGTAATATAAATTAAAAAAGCTAAAACTAGAAACAAGTGTGACACAGACACTTTAATTAAAATGCAACTGTATGACTTCTGGTATGACGGTGAGCTGAGCTGACACAAGGACAGTAACTAACTACACATCTAGCTAGTGATTACATTCATATTTTGTTTCTCAAAACATTGCTTCCGCCTTTTTAGACGTGTCTGCAAAGGACAAGATGAAATAAACTGTGAACCCAGCATTAACATATTATTACTGTGTTGTTGTTGTTGTTGTTGTTGTGGCTAACTTGCTTATTTACACATTTAGCTGCTAAACACTAAGCTATTTTCACCAGCTAGTTGCTAACTGTGTCTTTCTACTGTTCAGTGCTTGTGTAGTAGTGCACAGCGGGTTTATCAGAGCTTTATCACCGCTACCTGCTGCGACTGTAAATGGGGTTGATGAGAGATGTGAGACTGAACCAAAACAATAAAGTTGTGGGCCGTAAACCAAAAAACCTCCACAGAGTGAAGGGGGCTGCGGACTTGGGAGATAATTCTCTGTGGACGTGTTGGTACGAGCGACCCCTCCCACATTACACACAAATATTTATTGGTGAAGCTTTAACTCCAAACACTGTACTGCTCTGAGGATGTATATTATATTTATAATAACAAAATTAAACTGTCCTCATTTTGCTACAGACCCCTGAGACTCCACAATAACATTGGAAAGGGAAGGATCACTTGCAGTCAGGTTCAGAAACATAAATCAAACTCAACTGGAAAGGTCAGATTCTCTGTTTATGTCCTCTGCTGGCCAACAACATCCAACCTATCATCCTCTCAGGTCACAGGGCGGTAAATTACATGAACTTGACATGATCTCCCAACAAACTCTTCATCTACCGTACAGCATCTATGAGGGGGAAGAGAGACCATCAATCATAAATGTACCTCACATAACAACGCAGTCAAATTTTATGCTGTGTAGCCATCCAATCAGAACATCCTCATTACCTCCCACTTGCATGCCTTTTCTGTGTATCTCCTGTTTTTAATCTTTTCAATACTACCTCTGTGAGTGAGATGCTGTACAGCAATGGTAATGTATTGGCAAATTTCCGGTGTAAGTGTTGGGGAAAGAGAGGGAATTGAAAAGGGAGATTTGCAAATCACATTCTGAGGAGATTCTGGAGTTAGAGGAGAAAAGAATTATCCTCCTTGAGAGGAAAACACATTACTCTTAGTTCTCAACAACTTAAACATTAAATGTGGAAGGTGTTGATGTCAGACAGTGCTTATATCACAGTAATCTTTCAGTGTTTATATTGTATTGTATTTGTATGTAAAAGTGTATGCAATGTCACACCTTCGTCAGTCACCATAATCAAAGACCTTCTGCAATGCCGAGGAAAACTTATTTTATTCCTGTAGAAGAAGCCTTTTTTCCTTAATGTGTTTAGTATTTGTGTTTCATATGTTCAATTTGTTTGAAGAAAACCGTTTCAACTGGGGGACATTTTAAAAGGCTGGTAACATTACAATCTAGTGATCTATAACACTATGACAGTTTTAACCACCAGCATCAAAATCTAAAACTACATCTCATGAGCTCAACAGTTATATCATCACAGAGGAAGCTGAAAGTGTTTCTGATGGAATATTTTACTGAAACTTCTCTAATTAAAAGATCCTGGTTACTCTGTTTTGATGAATACAAGCTAAAAGCCTTTTTACTATTAGATAACTTCAACAGAATATGTCAGGTTCTGTTTGTTCTTTAAACACCCTCTCCAGAACCCAGAGTGCTTTGTGCCTCAGACATTTGGTGCAAAGTTGCTCTGATGTATAATGCTGTAATGCTGAAGCTAAAACTGAACTGGTAGCACCACATCCAATGTGTTTGATTATCTATTTTTGGATTTAAGGATTAGGTTTTTTTTTTTGAGTGTTGCTTGATTCCCATAAAATCCACCTACAGACACATTTACCACAAATTCCAAATTCATTCTCTGTGGAACTGCAGTGTCTCTACTTTGATGATACCATAAAGTCTTCTGTCTGTTTCTAGCCTTGGGACAGAGACGGCCACTGTTTACACGCCTACAGGCCCAAACTACGAAACACAAAAGACATCTGACTAAAGGTAAAACTACAGAGCTAAGTTCAGTCTACTGCACGGGACATATCATACCTAATGCAACTCTGGCAGCCGAGGCATCATAATTTATCCAAAAGGACACCCAGGATAGGATGGTGATGAGGATGGAGGGCATGTATGTCTGCAGGATGAAGTATCCGATGTTTCGTTTCAGCTTGAAGCTCAGAGACAGTCGAGGGTAGGCACCTGCAGGAAAACAAAGCGAAGAAGAAAAAGCCCTCTTTATTCAAGAGGAACAGGGGGATATCTAGCACTTTGTTTTGGTTCCCATGGCAATGGCCTCATGAACTGGTTTCATCACCATGGAAACAAGCAAGCGTGGTTCAAATTGCAAATCATCTCATGAAACTTAGCCTTGGGATTATCTGTGTGCAAACACCACAATGCAGAGCAAAATATAAAACTTTTGTTTACAAACAGGAACAGTCTGACATTTTGGGAAATATGTTTGTTCGTTTTTTTGTCGAGAGTTAGACAAGATTGACAGCACTCTCACCTCTGTACGACAAATGTGAAGCTACAACCATTTTAGCAGCTAGCTTAGTTTAGCATAAAGACTGAAAAACTGGCTCTAACATGGCCCCGTCGTTTTCACACTTTGGTGACCTTTAGAAGTACTGGGAGGCAGATTTAGTTACTTTTGGACAGAGCCAGGCTAGCTGTTTCCCCGTGTTCAGTCTAATATTTAATCAAATTTAAGCTAATTGTCCGCTGTAATTTCATAGTACAGATATGAGAGTGGTATCAATATTCTCATCCAACTCTCGGCAAGAAAACAAAAGAGCCTATTCTACAAAATATCACACTATTCCTCTGACTGACACTATTAGGCAATGAATGAATACATGGATGCATACTTTGTACGTCTCAGAAATAAGGACTGATTAAAATTGACTTTATCAAAGCTGTGACGGGCTGTTGCTGTTGCTATAGTGACATGAGTTTCTACACCTGTGCAAGACTGCAACTTTATTGCCCTGTAATATTCACTTCTGTACGCTGAGTGACAAAACACACACCTGTGTTGATCCCTGTGTGCTAGACCCACCTACTGAGAGACACTTAGAGTTGATTTGCATCAAGACTGACCCTGATTGTGATGAACTCTAAACGCCCACATGGTGTTACCTTCTCAGAAATGTTCGGACAATATCCATCCATGTAATTAATTCAGCTGTGGGGATAATCACTGTTTTGGTGTCTCTGAGTTTTTGTGTTATAAGAGAATAATTCATGCTGTGGTGCCTCAGGAATACATTACGCTACTGTAAGTACAGCCCCCAATTCTTTTATCAAGATCTTGAAGAAATAGAGGGGTAATTGCCTCTCTATTATTAATCCCAGTTCTGGTGTTATAGTGAGAGAGGTCATGGTATGATATAAGTCCAGTAACTTAATGCCTAATGTGTATATGGGCCCCCAGCAGGAAAACAAAGTACAGGACATATTTGTGGGGGGGGGGGGACTTTAAAGGCCCTGAAAACTAATTTTCTCAATCAGCTTCATTCTATGATTGATGGGAATCAACATGAAAACACAGGTTTCTGCCAAAGTTAGAACAGTTGTGAACTCACCTGTTGAAAAGACCACGTTCCTGGAAACCAGTTTGTAGTCGACTATGGAGAACTGAGGGAGCTCAATTCGTGTCACCCCCGTCACAGCAGTGTCTCCTCCTTTCCAATAGAACTCTATATCATCTGTTGTGTAACCATCTGCGAACAGGGACACAGGAAACCAGGCAAGGTGTGATTATGAGTGGAAAAGCACTGAAAAGTGCAGCCGTCTCATCTTGTTGGAGGGCTAAAATTAATAATGTATTTTTATTTGCTTAAGTGAAATCTGGGGGCCTAATAGCTACAGTTGATTTACAGTAAGTCCTATGAATCACACAGACTCAGCTTGCTGCAAGTGCTGATTGCATGAGATGTAAATCTTTATGTGGATGTGTGTCACTGCAAGCGGACAGAGTTATACCACATGCACGGGATCCATAACTGTCAACAGTTTTAGCACAGACAGCCAAACATGTCATCAAGACTGATGAAGTTGGACTAATCATTAATGTGCTCTACTATGGAAATCACTGTCTGCTTAAAACCTTCTGGACTGACACAGTAGCTGTAACTGGAGAGGGTGAAGCAAGCAATCTCAATGAGATACGACAGCTTAATAAATTGAAAGCGATTCAGCAGTCTATGCAGTTTCTGTGTCCACTAGATGAGAAGTGTGAGAACTTTTTTTACGAGAATCACAGCGCTGTTCATATTTTTAAGGGATGAAAAAGTACAGCTGTCTGCTGTATTTCTTTCCGAAGCACAAGATATGGGGCTTAAACTTACAACTCTCAATTTCCAGAGTGCAGTTCTGTTCGTCCAGTGGGTATCTCCTCAGATCCATCATGCAGGCTGCTGTCGTCGTGATTCTGGATGAAAACCAAACCAAAAGACAGGTATACATTGCTTGGGTGACCTTGTTTTATATGGTGTAGAGTATGATGTCAAATAGAGGAAGTTTCAATTGCAAATTCAGAGAGATGTGCTCTTTTACAGTCTGTGTAGTGAGGAGATAAAACTAATTTCAAATAGAACAAATTATTACACCAAAACACAACATCTTAGCAATGCAGTGACATTGATTATTATTTGTTTAAAGTCAGACTCTCTGTCAATTACTGCTAATAGCACTTCCAATGGCTTTTTACTGCTGAAGTGTTATATTGAGAATCCAATCCTGAGCCGCAGTGCAAATAAACATATGAGACCAGTTATGCGACATGAGCTGATGTGAGAACCGCTGAATTAGCATTAAGTTGCGAGAATTGCAGCTTAAATGGTTTCAACAAAACCAATAAAGCAGTCACTTCAGCGCGTCTTGGACAGATTAGATAGCTATGGGACAGTGTGAAAGCCAAGAGGAAATGCAACCAATAATAAGCATTAGCAAGGGATTGCTGACCACGGGAGGTGGCGTGACATGTTGAAAATGTGTAAATACATCAGTTCACCCAGGATGTACACAGTATGTATAGTAGTAAGTGTGAATAAAAGTGTATCATATCTGGATTTTATCAGGATAGGAGAAACATTAATGATATAGTTTAATAGGCCTTTGATTGTGATCAATGCTTAAATCAGTCTTTGAGTAGTTCATCCATATTTTCTTACATAATGCCCAAGTGGAACTGAAATTAATGGTGATTATATCAGACACATACAGTAAATTCTCATATAATAGCTGATATTTAAGTAATAACTGGGGCTGTAGCTAACATGAACAAATAAATGCCAGTCACTAAAAATAAAAACACACTGATGGCGATGAAATTACCTGCGGACAACAATGGCTCAATAATAAATTTAGTATGTCACTAATTCCAACAACATGTTATACTCACCACTCTACAGAAATAATGTTATAATTTAATTAATTCCACTTGTTTCTTCTTTCTTCTGCCGTCAACACAACTCAACACTTCAACTGGGGAACAGTTAATGCACTGAGAAGGTCCACTATTTGAGAATGAATGTTAACAACAGTGCTCACCTGAGGCCGTAGAGAACAGTGCCGTCTGGGTGTAGTCGAATCATACGGTTCTTAACTGTGACACCGTGAACAAAAGACTTCTTGTCATTGAGGAAGTAGGTGTCTGGGACCCAGAGCTGGTCTGCTACTCTGTTGTCCAGTGTCAGGTTAAGAGGGATCCCTGTATAGGCCAGTCTCTTATCTCTCCAATACTGCTGGAAGTACATAGTCAACGTGTAGTCCTATGGGAGGCAAAACAGCATAATGTAGTATATTCACCAATAAATATGAGAAATGCAATGATACTTTATGGCAGAGGCAGTATAAATAAAGCAATTTTGTTTCAGACGTTTGCAATTTCTTCAGGCCAGTGATGCCAAAATTGGCCAAACTGAAGTAAGAACTGACTTTCTTACAAGGTTATCAAATTCAGCACTGAAGGTCTGTAGCTCAGAGCTTGGGATGGATTTTTTTTGTAACAGAGGTGATATTTATAGAATTGTCAAACAACTGTGATTCTCATCAGTCTGCCCTGGGTGACCATATTTCAAGACCTGTCTCAACAAGAAACCTCTCTCAGCTGTTCTGTGCACAAGACTGGCACTAGCCCTCAGACTATAGATTTCCATTACTGCAGGCACAGCATCAACGCTAGGTTTCAGCTAAGTGACTGACCACTTTTACCAGCATGCCAAACCTACACTGCATATCTCAAGTATAGATAGATAGATAGATAGATAGATAGATAGATAGATTTCATTACATATTACTAGCCATACATGCAATGACATGAGGCTATTTCAATAATTTATTGGGCGTTCATTTGCAGCTAGCTCCACAAGTGGATCCATCAGAACACAAAAGCTTTTCCAAGCCTTTAATGGAGCTCTTTACTAGCTCACTTGGCTTTGTTCTGCTGACTAATGTTCTCTTAAATAAATAAGCAGGTCTCAGGAAATAAACAAAAACTTGGCCCGTGCTGAAAATGCCTACATTTCAAACCTCTGGTGCAATAACATATTCGTAATAAAGTGTCCAGAAATGCACAGATTTCCTTTGAATATAAAAATCAATACTAGTATTTATTTTTTTATAACACTGAACTAATTATTACGACTGTGTGGTAAGGGGTGCTTGTAAAGTGCTGACCTAATTTTGACAAAATAAAAAATTGCATTATTTTTGACACAACGCACACTGGTGCAAATGGGCAGCTGCATCATACATAGATGGCAGAGTGTAGGCTTTTTGTGTTTGGAATGAATGGCACTGCGTTATTTGACTGACAGAATAATATAATATTGATTGCCATGAATAATGCATTGTGTGTGTGTGTGTGTGTACAATCAGAAGACGTATTTATTCTCCTACCCTATGTTAAAAAGTTGCCTTTAGTTACTAGTTCCATCCATTTAATGCACTTTTAGTAAAGCCAGATAAAAAAAATGAAAATCAACAATACCCCTGACCACATTCCTCCTATATTTGCACCTAAAAAGAAGACCAGATACATTTTTCAATAGGTGTAGGTTCTGTAGTAATCAATGTGATACAGTATATTTCCAGAAAATTCCTGCCTTTGAGACTAGGCTGTTTTATTTTTCGAGTCTGTTTAGAGATGCCTTCGCCCTCCCAGTTCTCTTTCACCCCCTGTGAACAGAAGATGCCCTCATTACGCTCTCTCCCACACACAGCAGAGGTGTGGGCTGGGTGAATCAGCTTTACACAACAGCTCTCATAATACAGAGATAGAGCATTACATCAACCAACCATCTCACTCAAAGTCTGGACCACAACTATTTTAGTCTGTTTTAGATCTTCAGATCCCACTTCGGCATGTGTCCTTGGCTGCCTTAAAGATTGCTTTAACGTCTCAGATACAAAGCTATAGCACATCACTCACTGTACACACTGTACAGTACACCCTCCTGCTTCCAGTACCTTGAGTAACCGGCAAGGTCCCACAGGGCTCTATTCCAGGCCTCAGGGTATTCCCCACAGGGGGTTTACAGTTTGTGTACAGGAAGACACCCTCTAGCAGCCACGCTGGAGGTCAGTGTTACCAGCTCTTAACCAATGAAAGGTACTGGCTGCTACAAAAGGTATATGCATTTTCCATATGCCGCCATAGCTGAAACAACTGCTGTAACTCTTCTATAGGCAGCAATATTGTTTTTGCCGTGAAGAGCGCTAAGACAAGCTGTGTAGTGTGTATTGAGAGGGGAGCCCTATTAACTGCATAGCTTCTTTATAGCTTCATAACACACCAATTAATAATCCACGACTAACTCTTTTTAACAAGGCAAATCACCATGGCACACAACAATTTGTTTAACATCTGAGAAATCCCTCTTTGAATACTTGAATTCTTTGAATACTATTTTACGTCAGTTTATAGTGTACAACCTTTTATATCGAAATATTCTGTTTGGAAAAAGAAGCAATGCCAAAGTTGTTGGCATATCTTTTTTGATTTTTAAGTTCTACATTGTAGTTTGCACAATAATAATTGACCAATATGCAAGCAATTAGCTAACTAGCCAGTTGACTAGCTGGCCAGTAATTGCTGTAGGTGAGCTAGCATTATGCTAACATTAGCTAACTTAAGATGTGACTATATAAATGTCACTTTTATCTTTTTTAACATAGATGAACTTAGCACATATATCTAATCACAGGAAAGGAGAAAGTTGAACGAGGTTCTGACCAAGTCATTTTAGTATATATGATGGTTACAATCCTTTAAACGTAATGAGAAGTGAATTCCATTTAGCTGCTTCAGTTTCAGGGCCTTGGTCTTGTGCATGTCCTACTATGATACAAAAAACCTTATGGGGGAAAAATAAGTCAATCTGAGCAACAGAGATTCTACTGGGAGAACTAATCCCTCCCACATTCGCTCAATTTTAGCAACTAAACTGAAGACTATAACATAAGAATTTTGAAGGGTGGAGGGAGCTGTGGTAACAAACAGTGTTGGCATGAGCATGTCAGCAGAGACATAGTGAGTCAGGTGTCAGGTTAGGTGCATGAATATGATCGGACATTCAGTCAGCTGATAGCCACAGAGCTACTGAAGGAGCCAGTGATTGTGAAGCATGAATGAAACAGCTGATGCCAATCAACTAATGCAAACGGGACTCCAGTGCGCTGCCGGAACTAATGTTGTGCTCCATTTATGATTACAGTTTCCTTTTTGCCAAATGCTAACACAATATGTTCATATCGACGATTCCACTGAAAGTCATTAGCAATAATATTGAATTATGTCCCAGCTCTATTGAAAATGAACCTTCAGTGCAGACTGTCTGAAGAGTTTGAGTGTAATTTTCCATCATATGGAAACTACATTACCAGCACCCATATCTGATAACCAAAAGCTTTCAAAGACCATCCCATGGAGGATTTCAAAATGTTAATAACAAAATGTTGAAAATACATACTACATACTCTTTTCTCTGATGTGTGTTTAGGCACCCTAAAGGGTGGTGTTGTTTGTTGTCAGATATGTAGACCACAAGAGACAGAAAGAGGTTTGTTCTCAGCACCAGTGAGTAAATGAGGCCCAGTGGGAGGATGAGACTGTCGTGTCATCTTCAGCTCGGAGAGTGCACAGTCTCATACTAGATAGACGTGGTTACTGTGTGCCAGTCAAACATCGTCTACGTCAACTTAACACCAAGATATCTGCTGGGAATACAGGAATAGCACTCAGAGACGCTTGCCCCGTGCAAGAGGGGGGCTTTTCATCACTCCATAAGACAGCTAAGAGTTCCCAGTAGAATTCAAGTGTGCTATATATGTTTTGCAAACCATGCGTTTAATAATTTCAGTCTCTGCATCCTCCCACACAACTTTTTATAAAGCCTTTCATGAAATGATTTTGTTCCTTTCTCCACCTTATAACAGGCTACTTGTACTATTATCTTACGAGAGCAAAGTCTCAGGTGAGCTATTTTTGTGGAGTGGAGGGATGGGGGCTCAAGACAGGAAGAGAGAATCTGTTAGATTACTGAGTGATGTTTGGTCAGAAGTTATTCTTTCAGGAACCATCACTGGTTCAGACGAGTTGAAAGAAAACTTTTTAGTTCCAATATTCATTTTTTTAGATAAAAGGCATGTCATTTTTGTATTTGAAGAGGCAAAAGCAGTCTTAATATTGCATCTTGCGATACTACCATATATACTCTTTGGTTTAACTGTGAACTAGTCATAAGAACAATGTTTATCAGAATTTAGCATGAAGTGATGAATAATGAAGCTGTCCTCTAAGAATAACCGTACATGAACCAGTTTAATAAGTATATATGGTGCATGATTAGATACATTTAAAGCCTATAGCTATGATGCTGTAGATCCTCATAAGACATTTCACCAATATATCAATAATTGAGGAAACAATTATTGATATATTGGTAACACGTAAAACATTACAACTGCAATACAAGACCAAACCCCTAAAAGCTAACTCATTCCTAAAAGCTGACTTCTGTAGATAAAAACAGCTCATTCTAAGGTAACAATTCTTTTATTCAGGTGATTATACACTAATGAAGACATACCGAAGCTGATGAGAGTGGTGATACATACAAAACTGTTAAGATGCAGGATGTAAAACCAAAACAATGAGCTAAAAAAAAGCTAAAAAGTCTCTGTAGAACTGAGGGAAACTGTGGTCATTTAATCCATTCTTAAAATAAAAATATTGGTTTGTGCGGCTATAAAGAGTGTTTTGTTTCTGTTGTACCAGAGGAGTAAATGAAACCATTCACACTCATCAGGCATTTAGATGTGGCTTGTGAAGCTCTCACACATACAGTGTAAAATGGCATGATTAAAACTTAAAACATTTTTGATGGGGGTCATCTCAGTTTACTTACTGCACTCAACATTTCCTCACGTTGTGCCCCTAAATGCAACTGATAACTGATAACTCATAAATCAGAAGTTCTTCCGCCACAAACAGTTTCACCTGAATCAGGTGACTCAATAAAAGCACTTGAAGCTCCATTTTTATTTTAAGCACCCTGTTAGAGTGACGAGTTGAATGATTCTGCTGCAAAGAGGGTCTATTACATTCCTGTATTACATCCCACTATTGAGTAACACTAAACGCAGCATGGCTCCAGCACAGTAGAAAGTAAAAAAGTCAGCATGTTGTATATAGGCCCTCACTAGTATTTCTAGCTGAGTTCTCCTTATCTTGTGAGTAGCGGGGGCTTGAGGCTATTTGATGTGTTAT